TTTGGATGTCTCAGGGTAAATCCCCCACTTGTACACTGTATGCCGTGTTCCCCAACGATCCAAGCCTAATGTGTATGTGTATGTGTATACTATGTGTATGGACGAAACCAAACACAATTTGGATGTCTCAGGGTAAATCCCCCAGTTGTACACTGTATGCCGTGTTCCCCAACGATCTAAGCCTATGTGTGTGTGTGTGTGTGTATACTATGTGTATGGACGAAACCAAACACAATCTGGATGTCTCGGGGTGAATCCCCCAGTTGTACACTGTATGTCGTGTTCCCGAACAATCTAAGCCTACGTGTATGTGTATGTGTTTACTATGTGTATGGACGAAACCAAACACAATCTGGATGTCTCGGGGTGAATCCCCCAGTTGTAAACTGTATGCCGTGTTCCCGAACAATCTAAGCCTACGTGTATGTGTATGTGTATACTATGTGTATGGACGAAACCAAACACAATCTGGATGTCTCGGGGTGAATCCCCCAGTTGTAAACTGTATGTCGTGTTCCCGAACAATCTAAGCCTACGTGTATGTGTATGTGTATACTATGTGTATGGACGAAACCAAACACAATCTGGATGTCTCGGGGTGGATCCCCCAGCTGAAAACTGTATGTCGTGTTCCCGAACAATCTAAGCCTACGTGTATGTGTATGTGTATACTATGTGTATGGACGAAACCAAACACAATCTGGATGTCTCGGGGTGGATCCCCCAGTTGTAAACTGTATGCCGTGTTCCCGAACAATCTAAGCCTACGTGTATGTGTATGTGTATACTATGTGTATGGACGAAACCAAACACAATCTGGATGTCTCGGGGTGAATCCCCCAGTTGTACACTGTATGTCGTGTTCCCGGACAATCTAGGCCTATGTGTATGTGTATGTGTTTACTATGTGTATGGACGAAACCAAACACAATCTGGATGTCTCGAGGTGAATCCCCCAGTTGTAAACTGTATGCCGCGTTCCCGAACAATCTAAGCCTACGTGTATGTGTATGTGTATACTATGTGTATGGACGAAACCAAACACAATCTGGATGCCTCGGGGTGAATCCCCCAGTTGTAAACTGTATGCCGTGTTCCCCAACAATCTAAGCCTACGTGTATCCGAAAACGCCCGTGCCGTACGTGGTTTGCTGATAACACATAACTCCTCGTTAGCGGCCAGTCGCGAAACATTGCATGTCTTACCAGAAGATGGTCTCGCAAACATTGTTCAGGCTTTGTTCATTTTTATCGTCTGATATCGTGTCTCGTTATTTGACGAGTGTTACGTTACGTAGCTTTACAAAGAACAAAGGCTGCTAAATTTCGGTGCTTGAGTGACCAGGGAAGGCCACTTAACTAGTTTGACGCACCAGACCGTATCAAGTATCTTGGCACTGGCACGGCCCACACGGCCATGCCGACAGGCGGACCGGAAGGATCGCTTACACCATCGGCGGCACAGCGGCACAGGACCAGTGGAAGATACGAGGCGCCGTTCAACACGCGCTACGAAGAAAACGTGCATAGATAAGCCGCCGTCTTGGCTACGCTGGAGTGCAGGAGGACTATCGGCTCCTGTGCATTGATTGACGATCGGTTGACATGTATTTGGGTGATCCAGGATAAATTCCGGGCTTTTACTACCAACCATCAGCAGAAAAATGAAGGCTGCGAAACCATGGGGACAGACAGTCAGCCATAAACAAACACACTGAAACACACGCATACGCCCACCAGTCGCGACTCTGCCGCACAGACTGGTCATTGCATTCTCAGACGTCCCGCAAGATGTCACTTCAACCGCCTTGGAAAAAACAGTCGGAAGCAGTTGAAGGTAGTAGTTAGAAGTAGTAGAAGGCAGTAGCTGAAGGTAGGTTATACATCTCGGGTGCGTGGATAGAAAAAACGCCGTTTTCCCATCTCAGTGGGCGAACGAGGTATTAACAGTCCACTGTTCTATCTCGTGGATCGACCGTGCGCTGCACCCTCAGTGCAGAACATATGAGCAGGTGAGTCAGGTTCACCCGAATGGAGGACTTGCGGGAGGGTGGAACGGTGTGATTCCTGCTCGGATCTGCAGCGGAGAGCGAGCCAAACCTCTGATGTTACGCTCAACACATGATCATGCTTTGTGCAGCAGCTGAGAAAAAGATTCGCAGCTTTAACGTATTTGGAATCCTGGAGCAGGCGTGAGGCGCTGCCACACACTGATGTGCAATAATGGACATGGGACAGAACCGAGCCGTTCATTACGGTGGTCAGGACAATGGCAGGCGGACTATGCTTCTGATGTGACAGACCAGTTCAGAAACCGGAACAGCGTTTACTGACGGGCGAAACGTGTAAATTCCAACTGAGGTTGCGATCAAAGACAAGCCCGACATTTTGTGCTTCCAAACAGGGGCAAGAACATGATCGCAAAAATTCAGTGAGGTAAGGAACGGAACGGAGGGATTTGTTGAATGTCGGCTTCCAAGTAGCACCGGCTGCATTTTACCGGCATTCACTTGAAAGCCTTTGAATCTGAATCAACGATCACGTAAGGCCAAACGAGCAAGACAAGCTCCAAACTAACGACAGTGTTATCTGACCTGTTGCTCTAGTGTTATCTATACAGTGTAATGGTATGGTGTTATCGATATTGAAATTGTTATGTAGCTATCACCCGCATACCGGACCACCACAGTGTTCTCTGCGAAATGATTCAGATCGTTTACAAATATACTGAAGAGGAGGGGGCCTGGAATGGATCTCTGGAATACGATGATACCGTCGGGAAGTTAAGAGGAGACTTTTAAGGTACCCGTACGGTCATTAAGACTGGCACTTAAGGTGTGATAACAACGGCAGACCGAAAACCAAAAGGCATTAATACCGTGGGCGTGCAGCTTGTGGAATAATTTTGAGTGGTCTATGACGTTGAAGCACTTGCTGAGCTCTTGGAGGTAGACTAATAACATTTCTCGGCGCTCATTTAAGGAAAGGATGTGGTCTGAAGTGGTGGTCAACGCGGTCTCGTGCAAAGCGGAGTCGGAAACCGAGTTGAGAAGAGGAGAGAAGGTGGTTGGAGGAGACTCAATCTTAGGGCTGCTGGCGGGCAGCGCGCTCTACTATTATGGCCATTAATAGAACGATAGATATTGGACGATAATGTGGAGATTAACTGTGACTCCCAGACTTGAAGATGGGTAGGAATAAGACATGTTTCAACATGTCGGAATTTAGGAGGGGGAAATGCTGGGGTTGAACAGGTGGAGAAATATTGATGACGTCAAAACTGAGGCTAACCATACGCAGGCAGATGCCAACCTCGCCACTGGCAGAGGAGTTGTTCGGGCCCACAATTATGGCTCTCAACTCGGACAGTGAGATGGGCAACAAGGTCAGGGCGCAGACACCGACATGAGACAGGTGACGCGGAAGGTCTCGTGGTACTCCCCGACTGGCCACCTTGCCAGCCACACGGGGTCCACCCTGACAAAGTAGGCGTTCAGCGCATCGCGAGAGCTGAGAGTCCACTGCCACACGACGCGGTCTGTGGCAACCACCAACGGTGCTGACGGATCACCACACAGATGATGCACAATCCTCTGCTATACGACGATGGGTGTAGCCTCGGGTGACGCGGCACAGTGCTGAACGCACAGCGCGATTGAGCTCACCCTCAGAGCGGTGGCGGTGCCGCGCCAGCGCTTGGCGGCGACGCTGCACGAGGCCGCGAGTAGCGCCCGTGGGAGGATTGCGCAGGAGGGGTGCGGAGGCGACCCCGCTGCGCACGGGGGCAGGAGGGCTGCGGAGGTGAGGTGGGCGGAACGGCGCACGCGCGTCGCCAACCGGTGTAAAAGTGTGTACTATCTACTATCTATGTACTTTGTCTACTATCACTTCTCAAACACCGTTGCAGATAAGAATACCATGGGCCAGTCAGCTCTCAATAGGTCGTAATGAAAAGAGGTTAAGTCGATGCGATAAAAACACTAAAATGGAGAGTGATAGGCGGTCGACGAACCTCAGTACATACACAAAAGCACGTAATAGAAGTCGCAATTTAGGTGCTTAACTGGGCACGAAAGTATTTCAGCCAAAGAATCAGAGAAAGTTATTATCACGTGTTAACTTGCAAAATTTTAAATGCTATTGGAAACGGCACATATCACGGGTGCAGCACGGTGATGCGTGGTTTACGTGGATATATCACTGAATATTTACGTGGATACATCACTGAATATTTGCGTGGATACATCACTAAATATTGGCGTGAATACATCACTGAATATTTGCATAAATACATCACTGAGCATTCGCGTGGATACATCACTGAATATTTGCGTGGACACATAACTGAATTTTTGCGTGGATATATCAATGAATATTTGCATGGACACATCATTGAATATTTGCGTGGATACATCACTGAATATTTGCGTGGACACATCACTGAATATTTGCGTGGATACATCACTGAGTATTTGCGTGGATACATCACTGAGTATTTGCGTGGACACATCACTGAGCTGAAGCGCTCTTTGCGATCTGCCCTATCGTATTCTTATCTTACGACGTACGACAATGAAAAAACCACGCAGCTATGGGCTTCCTGTTGAAAGCGATTTGATTCCGAATCTGAATCGCCTAATCTGCCATGCAAACAGGAATCTTTCATTTCCGCTCCCGATGACGAAAGGTTACTTGCTGTATACGCTAATGAAGTCGGATTGGTTTGTTTTATGGCCCAATCCTTGAAATCTTGAAATCGAGCCTGCCGTTAAGCCCTTCCAAGACCTACGTAGTCGGCTGCACGTGAATGATGATAGTGGGTAACCAGCTGACTGCATCATGAAGTCATAACGGAAATTATGTACTAGGCAAAAATAAATCGTTCATCACCATGCATCATACAGCTGCCGGTCTAACACACAGTCTCAATAGCGCGTTCTTCCCTGGAGATCTGTCAAGATGTTCAACATCTGTCCAAGTCCTGGACAATGAGAATGCTATAAATGTCCCAAACATGTATTTACGTAGTGAATAAAATGGTAATGCAAAAGGTAAAGACGGCGGTACCATTGAGATCGGAGCTCTCACGAACATGCAAAACCTATCCTGAGATGCACTTTAGAAATTGTACAAAACGCTCAACACGTTCAGAAGGACCAGGCTGATAAGCCGCAGCAGGGAGAGATCGAGTTGATCTTGCGCGAATGCCCTCAATAAGTCCAACGACAAATCTACGATGCACACAGTGTAGGTCTAGGATTCCCCGAGGCCATGATCGTGTCGAAACGGTAACATCTAAACAGTGCTCTCGAGAGTTCCGGTAAGATGTTCACCAACACATCAAACACGAGCCTTCCCTGGCCAGAGAGTGGAGCTCGTGGGTGCTTCACAAACTGCTCTCAGCACACTTCGGCACCGCCGGACGTCACGCATTGATGAACATTGTTTTTCTTGGTGAGCGGGTGCACCAGCGTTTACTTGCAGGGATGCCAGCCAAATCATTCCTGGCTGTTCTTTAGTGCTACAAAGGAGCGAGTTCACGTGAACTATACGTTTGATACCTTTACATAACCTGTCAGCGAACCCTCGTAGTTGTGTGCTCACAGACCATATCCGTACACACAACGCCTTAACCACCACCGATATCCCGTAACTAGCAAAATACAGATATTTACAAGTAGAGTTTTACGAACCACCCTATTAGACGAGCCCTGGACTTATGTCGCGATGGAACGTTGGCTAGCAGCGTCCAGGAAAAGTGAAACACAGCGGAATACATCGCCTGCATAACATCGGTTAAATGTACACTAGATTGTCAGTGCTTGCATCACAAGAGGTGAGCTTGCTCCAATCTAAGATACGAATGTTTTCTGAAGCGGTAACAGGCATCCCGCTTGCTCAACACCAAACATTTCACAGACCGGCATTCGCACGACTCATGCAAACTAGAGGCTGGTCGCGACTTACATCGAAAGCTATATTCACATTCATAATTGCATATTCAATGAAGAGAACATAAAATTGGTTTTCACACCTGTTTTCGTAAGTTTCATGATACACCGTGAAATCAACGACATTGCGAAGGTGCCGCCTGCTACGCGCGTGGTTTGGCAAAACGTTTCGTCACAGACAAAGCACAGTATTATCACACGGAGCATATCTGATAGATCCGCTGTCACGTCCCCGGGTGGAGCCGCTCTCGCGTCTCCCCGCCTCAGCCCGATGTCGAACCCCACCGCCACCTCCGACCCACCCCGACACAGCTCAGTCCACATCACCCGTCTGTCCTCTGCCAATGATATCCGTTCCGTCCTCCCTGCAGGGCGCGGGATATCTACCACCGCGCGAGAACGGAACAAACCGTGTCGACTGCCCCGTGCTACTCACGGGGTATACGTGCGTCGCTGTAATGGGACTGCCCTGTGCTGTGTACAAGTACATTGGTCGGCCACTGGTTTGTGCCATATGCAAATACATTGCCAGGATTTTGTTCCGAGCAACTGCCATTGTTCGCCAGCCGTCAGTTGCCAATTGCCAGTATAATCCTGCGTTGCAGACATGGATGTAACGTGTATAATTTTTTCACTTTATATGCATCACGGTGTCAGCTGCTTTGCCCATTATTAATAGAGCGGACTGACTGTTAATTTGTGTTCATTGTTAATCCGCTAATGATTTTGGAGTTTCCGTTAGACACATTGAGAGCAAGTGGTTGCAAGATAAACGCCGCATGACCAGTGTTCTATTCGGCACGTGAAGCCCCTGTGAGAAACGCACTATTTCGCAGGAGTGATAATGTTTGCTGAGGCTTGAATTATCTACGAATGGTTATGTAAGCATCACTCGGAATGGTCTTGCATGCAGCTAGCATTGGAGATCAAGTACAGCCGCCACCAAAATAGGATCCGGCTAAACCTCGGTCGTCATTGATTTGATGCAATTTGGATGACGCTGTTCTCTTAGAGGTACAGAAAATGTCCGTTTGCCACAAAGCGCACCTCGGTAAATTCGTTGCATGCATTTTCCAGCTTTACCATTCCAAATGCAGCTCTGATTTGGGGGTATTGATGCAGCACACTCCTCTGTTGGGCTGGCTTGGTTCTGATGTGCGGTTTCTGCGTCGGTTTCTCCGCCTACAATTGTTGGCCGTGACGTGTCAGGTCGGTCAGAGATGGCGCTAGTTGTCAGTTGGGGCCATTGGCTGGGGCGAGCTCGTGCGAGCCGGGGTGGGCAGACCCTCATACTTGCTGGTAGTGGGCCCGCTTGGCGTTCTTGGCTAGCAGACATGCCAGCGTGATTCCAATCACCTGAGGACGGAATCGTCATGTCATGCGCACAAACTGGGTGTCTCTGCGCGGCCGTGCAAACTCGAGCACAAAACCTAACCCCAGTAAGGACCGATCACCCGCCACGTTTTCCTCCGCTACAGCTGCGTCTTGCCCCCTCGCAGTATCCCGCCGCGCAGGAGCTGCGCTGCGGTCACAGCACGAGCCCGTGTCCCGACAACCCTGGCGGGAGCCCCGGGCGCCCGCACACACCTCAAGAGAAGAGTCCCTGCACAGGTAAGGCTCAGCGGTGGGGGTCCCATACAATGGGTGCAGTGTTGGTCCACTGCTTCTTTTTCTCCTCCATTACGCAGCACTGACATGACCTTCACCGCCGACAAGGCTCTGTTTCAAGCGGAACCAACTAAACAGGATCCATCACGACCATTGCTGCTGGGACTGGCCATGGACTAAGAATCATATGGTGATCAAGTCACTTTTTGCACACGTGTCAACGCCACACATTCAAGATCGCGATCCCGAGATTTGGCTTTCACACACCTCATGGGGCCGTGCTCAAAGGCAAAGATCAGCCCGGTTTGCCGGAGCTCCTGAGAGGTACGCTGGCCGCGGAGACTGACCTGGAAGAAGGCGAGTCCAATCGCAGCGCCGGCGATGATGCCAATGTTGGTGTAGAAGAAATCCATCACCACCTTGTAGCAGCCCTGAGGCAGCAGATGCATGGCCTCAGCGGCGGTTGGGAAGCCCGAGGAAAGATTTATGAAAGAGGAGCATTAACAGACGCGGGAATGAATCTGTTCATGACCGTGTCGAGTGCTCATGAGCAAGGGAGTGAGACAGCGAGCAATGGTGGCCCACAGGAGCCAGACCGGCTATGACGAGCGCTAAGAATGTCAGGGCCGTCAACATTAAAACTGGGAGTATCAATGGTACGGACCTGCATAAGCAAAACAGCATGCAGTCGCCGGCCCGCTTTTGCCAGCCCACTGGTATCACGAGGAGCATGGCTGGAATGTGGAGGGCCGTGGAGTCCAAATCATTATGGTATGTGCTGGAGTCGCTAGTTCCAATGAAAACATTGATTTGGTGTCAAGACGACATGTGCTAAAGGGGACAGAATGATAGTCATTCAGTGTGAGGATTTATAAATTCTAAGCATATTGGGATGAAACGCAAAATGAACGTAAAGTTGTTCTTCGTATGGGAAAACGGAAAACATGGAAAGATGGCACAATAACTTGGTGCAAAGTCGACCTGAGTGGTAATGATTCGGACACAGGTGGAGAATTTCCAGATGATAAGAAACGTGAAACACACGAAACGTAAGTAGAAGTAGTGAAAACATCCAAATACCACATCTGAGTGCAAAAAACAAAGCGCAAGTTGAGAGCTGGAGCCCTCGGGATGAATCCATCATCAGATGGTGGGAGGGCCAAGGTCCTTTTGAGAGCAGACTCCAATACGTGCGCAAATGACACCAAAATTAAGCAAAAATGGTGCACATGTAGGCGTTTGCCACGGTATTGTCAAAAGCCACCGACCCGTTACCACCATTGGATTCAGCCCTGGTCGTGGAGCACTCGTCCTGATGTTTGCCTAAGGGTATTTCAGTATTTCATCCACCCGATGTTTGCCTACGGGTATTTCAGTATTTCATCCAGAGGCTGGCAAGTTCAGAAAATAAAAGGAGCAAATGAGTGGGTGAAGGAACCATTTATACACCAATCTTTACTGATCGAGTAGGACGCGTGACCAGCAATCAAAGCCCAACTTAATTTCACTGTTTAATGAACGTTCGAAGCACGGTGCTCCTCTTGGGCTGCTCTGTCTGGTCAAAGCCAAGAGCATGAAGCGCACCGGACAGCTCTGTTTTGTTTGGAAGCGTTGGTCAGGTATCTGTGCTGTTGCTACGCACGTAGCCCAGCTGGAGGACTATTGAGAACTCAACTGCGGCTGCCAAGCCACAGAGTCAACATCCGCCGGGCCCAGTGATCCTGCTTCACTAAACGGGCTCTGGCTCTAGCTCCCGTGTCAATATAGTTCTCATGCATCGGATTGTCGACTCTGGCGCGAGTTGAGTGAGTCAATGCACCGGCAGAGATCGATCGGGCGTTTTTATTTCCTCACATGCCGGTGTCGCAACCGCCTGAGGCGTAGCAACGGTTGACCACGCAGCGGTCATGGCGGGAAAGCTCGGCACTGGAGAAATTGCCCGTCAATCCCCACACCACATAAGGGTCCAGCTGTACCCACCAAGGTGCAGGACAGCCGCGGTCTGTTCAGCGCTATATCCAGCATGGGCTCACTCAGGACGCGCGCGGAGCCCGGCCGTGCCAGTCACGCTGTCATGGACGGTGGTGCAGCGGGTGTACCCGCTCAGGACATGCGCGCGGGGCCCGGCCTTGCCTCTCACACTGTCACGGACGGTGGTGCAGCGGGTGTGCCCGATCAGGGCGCGCGCGGGGCCCGGCCTTGCCTCTCACACTGTCATGGACGGTGGGGCAGCGGGTGTACCCGCTCAGGACGCGCGCGCGGGGCCCGGCCTTGCCTCTCACACTGTCATGGACGGTGGTGCAGCGGGTGTAACCGCTCAGGACGCGCGCGCGGGGCCCGGCCTTGCTTCTCACACTGTTGTGGACGGTGGTGCAGCGGGTGTGCCCGATCAGGCGCGCGCGCGGGGTCCGGCCTTGCCACTCACGCTGTCGTGGACGGTGGTACAGCGGGTGTCGTCCCACTTGGCGCAGCAGGAGGCCGGGTAGGCGGGCGTGCCGTGCGAGCGCGCGTACGGCGTGTTGTTCCAGTCGGACGTGCCGTTGATGCCGCAGCACTTGAGCTGCGCACAGAGGCGGGCGTTACACCGCAGTCAACGCATCCCACATCGGGTAGCGCTTCGAGTGAGGGGCGGGGCACAACGCAGCAGTAATGCTACGGACATCACCCAGCCGTTGACGACGAGGCTCTCCCCACACTGCAGAGAGAGAATGAGGACCACCAACACCATGAGCGTCGAACACCAACAATGTGCCGCGGATTTGCCGGGCCAGTGCAGTTGTGTTGCGTGGTTTGGTCCAGGGCGTAACGAGTCACGATATGCCCAGAAGTGACCCTAGTACACGGTAGGTGCAGCACGCGACAATTAGACAGTTATGTAGTTATGTCTACGTGGCAAGGCCTTCGGAAAAGGGTTTAAAACCAGAATCTGATCAGAATAGCCCACTCCCCTGCTGCCAGATAAGACGTAACTATGCATTGCATTGACACGACCAGGGGAGTGAATTTTTAAGGCCGGGTGGAGAGAGGACTGAGCTTATATGACCACCCTGCCCCCACTTCCTGATTTCCTCCCTGATTTCGGCCACTTTGTCTCGCGGCCTTTTAAAAATACAAATTACAAAAATTGGTCGGTCCCAAAATGGTTGCATATCGAGGAATGACTTCCCATTTGAAGTCGATGTGGACGTGGTGATGATGATGCATGCTGACTACGTAGATAGTGTTACGTTCAGGACCTATTGCACTAGCAGTTCAGACACTTGCTGCACTTCGTTGGCTCAGTATTCCCTTGTTTGCACGGTTGTATAAGGGGGAGGGAGGGGGGGGGGGACTCAGGAGAGCGCTGCGGTGTTCAAGTCATCACTGGGCTGCCGAGGCCCTGCGACAGCTTCGCTGCGTATTAAGTCAGGATAATGTCGCAAGCGAGAAGACCTTAATATTCTTACCGTGGACTGGATAGCGTCGATGGCGGCCATTTTGTCCGTGTTAACACCGTACTCCTGAAGACCGTCCCTAAGACCGTCCTGCGATCAGCACAGATCAGAACAAGTCAGCGGGCCTCGCTCTCCACTGCACAGCCTTACTGCACTGTCATACAAGCGTCCACTTCGGTGCATCCTGTATGGAGACGTCAATTTTTACTTTAGCTTCATTCTGACGCGTTGGAAAATTGCATGTATCAGGAAGCTTGTTGCTTTCTCATATACAACGCTAGGCATAGGCCTAGGGGTAGGCGGGGGAGGGGAGGATGAGTGGGAAAGGGGCTGTCAGAATGGGATATGCTCCCAACCTACTCAAGCCGATTAGCATATCTTTCAAGAGACATTCAGCGTTTGCGCTCTCAAGAATAAGTGTTTTACTATGGATGTGAATGACGTCATAAATGAGAAATGCGAATGGTCTACGTCCTCAACGCACAGATACTTTTCGGAACGTACCTACCTATGGTACAGTTCTTGCTTGCTCTTAGTTCGCATTCACGGACAGGATTCCCAGAAATACTTCGAAGTGTTAGCAACATTTTTTATAAGGTAGCACGCATATCTTTGCGCTTCATCGTCTACGCTTCTGCTTATGTGGCAACATATGTATTACTATGAAGATTGGCCGGCAAAAATGTAGACAACGAGGTAAATAAGGCATATAACTGTTTCTATAGGGACGTCATGAATGCTACCCGTTTGCTGTTTGAGGGCCAATTTTATAAGAATTGCTAAACTTACACGGTAGCGAGATGATAATCAGACAGCCTTTCAGCTTCTACACAGCCTGCCAGGACCTGGGAGAATTGCCCGAGGCGTGCGGGGGAGAAGCTAAGGGAATCGGCTTTCGCTTGGTATCTGGGGATGAACTGAGATTGCTTTGATTAAATTTAACATGACTGAAACGTTTTCTATCCCACACTCAAGCAAAACGCCGATTTTGAAACCTTGCATCGCTAATTTGCGATCAGAAGGTCACATAGCCGGCTAACCGGACAGCTGTTGGCTCTGTTTCGGCCAGCCGTCGACCCGAAACTGGGTAGCCGCAATCAGCCTTGGTGTAAAAGACTGCAAAGCTTATTTCATTGCATGTCCTTCGGGTGCTTCGAAAATAAAGGGGTTTAGTCATGTCCCTGGACTTCTTGGCAAGTTGTTCTTTTTTTTAAAGGCAAGCTCACAAGGTGTGAGTCATTCCACTGCCTGGCTTAATATATTTTCCTTGCCTGGACATCAACTTCGGGTTGGAAGTTCCTAATGATTTTGAGTGTTTCCCAGACCACCAAATTTGAGAAAGAAGTGCACCAAATGGAAGAGTAGTTCCATTGCTGCCTGTTTTGGGGCAAATCTAGTTTTGTTTTCATGCTAATACTACTTAACTTATTTTGGAAAACCACGCTCATGTATGCTTCTACCTGCTATGTACGTAGGGATCAAAAAGTACACATATGATAAATGCATCGTATGCTAAAATAACCGAAAGATGAGGCCGGTAATTTGTTCTAGACATGTAGCTCATCCTTGTGGACAAGTTTGACAACCGTCTTCAATTTAATGGTTATTGCTCGCATTTGATCGACTGCACCTGACTTCTGATGCTCTGTTTGTTATAACCCACCTTCACTTCAAGACGCTTGAAAACACATGTGACCTCGCGTTCAGTGATAGGTAAGGGTGTTACCAATGGTTTCAGTTAAATTTCAGAGCACAAAATGTAGTTTGTGTACAAAAGGCATTTTCAGCTCTAAAACAATGAACCTGTTTATCTCATTTAATGTCGTCTGGCTGAATGCTAAGTTTGTTGATTTGCTGCTCGCCTGTCGAATACAGAAGCGAAATATGGGTATGTTACCCTCCAGCAAGTTAAAACTCTTCTTGACCTGAAAAATTATCTGACGACCAAAATTTGTAATTGAGCCCCGCCGTCAAATTTTCAGGTCTAAATAAACGTATGGTGTCTACCAACATTTGAGAGATTTGTTTATAGATAAAGCACTTAGTAACATGCAGCATACGATGTCGTTATGCGCTATGCTGGTGCTCTGCGCGCAAATGAGGCTCTCAATCAAAAATAAAATTTTTTAAGTACACCCTTGTCATTGGGAAATTCCGCATGCTCCCCTAATGGCGCTCCTGGACCGGATCAAAGCCTACAAATGGTAATGATAGCTAATCCACATCTAATCCATGCGTTCGAACTTAAGCCCATAACGAAAGCTTGAAAATCCCTCCTACACCCCTGAGTCACGAAGTAATCACGTTCAGTTACAATTATGAACGGATTCGCACCTACAGCTGTCGGTCAGCGTCATGTACCACACACGGCGAAGTAAAAAAAAACAAAAAACAAACACCCACAAATCTAAGCATGATCCGCATGCTACGCAGCATTTAAATAAGGGGCAAGAATGATGCCGGAATGATACCGAAACTCGATACCGAGTCTTGCGTTATCGTCACATTGCGAAACGACATGAGTTTAGATTAACGTCACCAGCGTGTCGCTGCAACACGGGTGGCCACGCACCTGGAATCCGTGGGAGAGCTTGCGTCGGTAGGCGTAGGCCGAGATGCCGGCGGCCAGCACCACGAAGAACACCAACAGCAGGAAGAACGAATACTGAAACGGCCAGTGCATACTGCGATTGGTGTTCGAAGACTCACTTAAGCGGTCACTTTGTCCATTAAACGCAGAACGAGAGGATCACATTGCTTGCTGTTGTACTAGTCGACAATTCTGTCATATTTAGAAAGGGCATTGCCCCTCAAATGGAGGAAAATGACTGCTGCGTCAACAACATATCAGCCATACATCGTTTCTCATGAAACCATGATGGCGCACACTATCTGGCACCGACTGGATCAATATTATCGCCCGGTGAAGCCAAGCGGCTACAAATGCTACGTATAACTGCATGACAGCTCTTAGTGTCGAAATTACTGAACAAGATGTTAGTGTTTTGAACCCCAAAAGCCATAGCGACCTGGGGGCCCTATTGACCCCTTCCCCCCGGAGGTGCACTGACGATGTAGAGCAGGACGGGCTGGCTCTTGACGGTGCAGCAGCAGGCGAAGGTGCCCAGCAGGATGATGAGTCCACCGCTGGCGATGAACACGTACGGCACGGAGGCGGAGAACTCGGGCGACACCTCCACGTACTTGTAGAGGCTGATCTGCATCCAGATGCCGATGCCGAGGATCACCAGGCCGCTGACCTGCGGCCAGAGCCGGACCCACTCTTGGTCAGCGGCGCACACCGACACGGCCAGATGCCGATGCCGAGGATCACCAGGCCGCTGACCTGCGGCCAGAGCCGGACCCCCTCTTGGTCAGCGGCGCACACCAGTGCAGAACAGCGGTCAGCCGTTTACTGGCGGACAGTAGATGACTATCATTAAAGCAGAACTCAAAATAATCCTACGTTGATAGAATTTGCGATTTGTGCGCAGGAAAAATACCGAAACTCTTGTCAAACATGAGCCTAACCGGTTATCACACAACAACCACAGCATATGGACGGGGTAAATTCAAGCTTTAAACGTGTTAGTCTAAAAAAGCCCGTAAATCTCGTCGCTCGGTAAACACATTGTATTGGCGTCATTGTAATTGCGTGGAACTTTAGCACAAGGCCGATAAACGATGTTTTGTATTCCAGCGGCTTGCAGCAAAATAGCGCCTCATTTGAGCCACGGAGTTCCTCTTGCTGAGCGTTCGTTGGGTTCACATGCTTATTTGCGCGGATCGCAATATATTCGTGCATGAGGCGTACAATGTGTGATCTCGATTTCCCAAGTTGATAAAATGAAACCATGCCCGGCGGTATAATGCACATCATATAGCCTGATCCCAGACGATTCTTGACATGACTGGATGTGAGCAGTATTTTTATGCCAACGGCCAATCTGGCACCCACTACAACTCGCCCTACCTTATGGTCAAGCTGTTTCAGCAAAGGCGGTGAAACTTGGCGATGTTTGCAAACTATCAAAATGACGTCGGGTGGAAAAGTTTGCTGGCATCACACTTTGTCCGCTGGTCAGGTTACCTTATGAGGTACACATGGGACAATCACATGTAATACGCCATAACCATTGATAATATTCCTTAAAGGGAGTGGCTTGTCTTAGGTGCTATACAGTCCATGCAGGTGTATACTGCTGCACTGAGACAATGCTGATTTCGATATCAATATTCATAAATATATGCGATAGCCTCCCCTGCCGGCAGTACATTACATCACAATACACAACTATGGATTGAGCATATCAAGAGACACCTCGGGTACAGCCAGGAAGCGGTCTTTGGGGTGAGCTGGCTCGGATTTCATTTCCGGTTTGTGCACCGGCAACAAAGTGGCCATCATATGCCAGAAAGCTGGAATGATACAGAGACGCGGGTGCATCATGTCACATGGGTGGTACCTGCTACCGAAATTTAGGAGAGGGGTGGCAGTTGCGACTCGCGCTCACCTCAGCTCTGAGCCAACCATCCCCAACCTCCCGTGTATCCTACATCCAACACGGATCTGGGGTATTGCCATAGAGAAACATAAGCACAGCAATATTGAGAAGAGGACCAAACCTCACAATCCACATCACAGCGCTTCGCAACATATTATTTTGTTTTGCTGTCTATCGTTGGCATCATACGCCTGTCATTAACTCCAAACCGCTTGCATTCACGTGTTTGGGCTCACCGCTCATCATACTAGCGGTGTCAAAACTTAAGGCAGAAGACATTTTAATGTTTTGTGAGTATAATCACTCACCGACGAAGATTTAAATGCTCTGAATTATATAATCCTAAACAAGCTGTGCAGATTTATTCTATTTTTAACTTTTGCGCGCACTTCCATCATTTTTGGGTGTTTTTGCCCGATCACGACGTTACGACAGACTACATGTTTTGCTTAAGATCCAACCCGTCAAAACCAGTCCAGTAAATTGTCATATCTTAGTATGACTGAATACATCAGGAACAGAGTCCCCGTGAAATTTGCCGCGTGCAAAAATGCGGTCAGTTTTGCACGTTGATAGCCATGCTCTATGAATTGCAGATTTAATATGGAATACCGGGAACTGCCGTCTTCATCCTGCTTGTCATTTATAGCAGCTGTAAGCTGTTCTTTATTGTGATCTAATTCCGCACCTGTTGGACAGATGCCAGCCAATCGTTGTCTGCGAGATTTCCTTCGTATGTTATCGGCCTTTTCGTAGAGAATGACAGAGCCGATTCTCGCTATCGTGATCTCGTTCTCGCCGATACAGGTGACGCACACCAAACACAAAGCTGTATGCGTTTATACGTGAGTGACCTCAATCGCCTTCTACACATGAAGGAAACGTGCGGCCATGCTTCAATATTACTAGGTCTGGTCATTATCACCTAGGTTATCTGCGCTGCAATCAAACGGACCCCATCCCCGAATACCTGTAGGCCGACATCTGCCTAAAGGTAGGTATGACCCCCGACCGAGCTTGGCATTATGCTGTAAGCTTTATTTCGGGTGATGGCGGATTTGGCTATACAAACCATCGATACCAAAAATCAGCAGCATTAGACGTCCATGACGTTAACGACCAAATGTCCCCTGAGTTGAGGTAGATACGAATCCTTTCAGGTTTTGTATGAATCGGAGTCGCAGTTCCGCAGAACCATGCTGATTAGAGTTTTCTCTGTGTGGGCTCAAATGTAAATGAAAGTGACAATATATCTTTTCAATCTGATAGCTCTTATAGTGCAACAAAATAAACATCAAATAGTTGACGCATCACAGTCTTGTAAAGAGATGTTTGCCTTGTGCAGGCTTCTGCTTAGCCCATATAAGGATTTATCTCCCATACTTTCGCTATCAGGATGAGCTTCATCGTGATCGTTTTGGGAATCGAGCCGCGCTCCTCTGCGAAATCGAAGTGATGTCAATATTGTGCTGATCTCTTCCTGGATGGAGTCAAAATCAAGCCTGTGTGCTGTAAATCAGCGTCGAAATTCATTAGGGCTCAGAAGGATCAAGCACAGGTCCGCTTGGCAAGTATGTTAAGTGACCAATAGTATATTTTGAGGGCCTCACATGCCTGGTAGCGTGGGTTTATAGAAAAACTCACAGATGTTAAAGAACCTCAAAGCTTGTTTTACAACGGACTACAATAATATGACGTAATGATCAGACTACACGCGGCGATTCGTGCATTTTTATCTGATTCTCAAACGATTCTCTGCTGTTTGAGCCATTGCATTGATCAAATAGCAGCGTTTGGACTTCATAGTTAGCGTAACGAAACGGAAAGTGCGCCTCATCATCGAAGAAAGTCAAAACGTATCATGTGGCTGGCAGTTATTTACTATGCTCGCACTCGATTATATTTATGTACGTGGGTTACAGTGCATTGATGGTACAATCTTGTGATGGTTATCACAAGATGGTTTATGGAACATGAACGCTATTATGATCAATAAGTAAGTTTTGTAGCTATGTCCACCATTTTTCCATGATAGCCCTTGCTTTTGCCCTACGTCATAGTTATCTTTCAGTTACATTCCCATCTATTGATCCACCTCTCCCATGACGCAGGTGGCATGCTTCACTCATCTCGTGGAGCCATTACTCGCATTATACCGCTTTTAAGGTACGACATGGTCGGAAGCATTAAAATGCACGAATGAAATATACCGCGAGTGTTTTTTTCGTAACATGCGTCACTGAGCAAATAATTAAACACAATACTTATTGCTTCCCATGGCAAATGGGAAGGGACAGCTCGCGGGAGCATGGCTCTTACCCAGAAGCAGACGTTGAAGAGCATCAGCAGCATCTTCATACACGACATGGCCGCCACGGTAGCTAACTGCTCCGACATGACTCGTCTAATGGGCAGAGCAGCTGTCACGCGATGGCCCACGGTGCGTCCAGGACCCTACCGCGGCGCTCTCCAGGCTCGATCGATCGGCCGCGATGGCAGAGACATCTATAGACCGCGGTTAGGTACTCGCAGTATTGATTTCTGTCCGCCGTCCAGTGGCCGTTCTGTTTCGGAGCATCTCAAGTGTCTTTTGAAATACAACTCCGGCGCAGGTGACTTTCCATGAACGCGAGAAAGTCCACTGCTGCAAGAAGGATTCCTTTGTCTAAATGATTTTGATGGCAGCGGGGTGAGCAGCTACAACTGGTAACAATTCAGGCTTAACGCTTGTGTCTAACTCGTTATACTTCGTCCCCCCCCCCCAGCCAGGTACAGCGTCACTGATTTCGAGTTTGGGAACGAGCGGGGGACAGGATTTTCTAGGGACCTCCTGGGCAGAGTGGGGACTCTCCACTGGGGGCTTTTGGTCAGTTTATATTGAAGGGGGATGGGCATCGACGGCATGTGCTCCCTTATCAAATTGTTACATGCGTAATACGTAAGTACATGAGGACAATGCCAGTCTTAATAGATGTCGAAAACAAAAAATCCAGAATGGGGCCATTCTGATTTTCAGCCAAGGGTCACGCTGTCATAAAATAAGGCCTCATGTTCCAAAAAAGGGCCTCCTGGTGCAGAGAAAGACGTCCTGATTCAGAACAGGATGCTTCCCATTAACAAAGGGAGCTTCCAAATATAGCCACGGGGCCTTGTTATCACAATACAGGGCATCCTGATTCCCAATCGTGACCATCTGATATGTGAGAATGGCTTCTTGTTTCAGAGATGGAGCCTCCTGAATAAAGAGGATACCTCCTAACCCAGGAGAGGACATCCAATTTCGCAACGGGGGCCTCCCGAGCCAGCAAAGAACCTCCGTAACACAGCACTGATCCTACTGATGTAGAGCGCGGGATGACATATTCATAAAGCTGGCTTTATGCTCCAAAAAGGGCTCTATTCATGAAGGAACGTGCCTTCTTAACCCGATTTATTGCCGTCTGCCTCAGTTTACCGGACATCCTTTATCTAAATTCTGGTAATTTGCGAGTGACTACAACGTCTTAAGTTTGGGAAAGGGGCCTGCCCACTTTTTGGGTGGAAAAGCATGCTCTCGCCCGCTCTGCCGCCTGCCGTGCCACCCCTGCACCCAGCACCACTATGCCGTTTGGCGGCGTCATTTCGTCACCGCCTCTATTGAGAGCATACCCGATAGAACCACTTCGACATTATTAGATTTTTCACAGGTACCCACACACATGTCTGTCCTTTCCCGGCGGTTATTCGCATGCTATCCACGTAAGTACACCGCCATTTTCGTTCGCCACGCAAACCAACAACTGCCGCGCTCTTTATTGGCTCAGACTTGGCCTGCGGTCTGCGGGCACACTGCCGGTTCTCTGCGGGCGCGCCGTCCGCTGATGCAACCTGAGTGTCGAGACGCCGGGTGGTGGCGGCCCGCTGGCGCTCCGGTAATGCCCGCCCGTGGCAGCGTCCGCGCGTCGGAGAACGGTGCCACCGGCGGCGAGGAATTTCGCTCGAGGTTAACGCCAGTCTGACGCATGAACTGACACGATGCGCTGGATCTTTTTGAAGTTGGCAGGAATCCGGTGGCAGCGCTGGTGTGAGTTATACGTGCTGAATTATCGGTCGCTTCATATTACTATAAAATTGAGGTAGTCATCAGCCCATGACTCGATGCTTCTCGTTATGACGACATTCACGAATATCTGAAGCAGCGTGTAGGGTAGGTACACACTTCCTAAAAGAAACACAGCACTGGGGCCGTCCAGATGTTCCCAGCGGGAGTCACGTGTCCTTCTGCTCGATTGCCTGCCGTGCCTCCGTCTTCTCCGATAGGCAATTCCAAGAGGTAGCAACAACATCCGTGGCTGGGCGCGTGGGGGTAGAAACAGGGGGGGGGGGGCAGGGGGCCATGGCCCCCCACTTTTCAAGGTGCGGGAGTAGAAGTGCTAACTGCCCCCCCCCCCCACTTTTCAGATTAAAGTTGCATTTGGCTTACTTTTGCACTATAGTAAACATGCCTGCTGATTTACCTAGTTCACCAGCCATCTCCCTCAAAATGCGTCATCTTTTTCATTTGCTCATTGACCATCGCTTAACGTTACAGCCACAAGGCCGACGCCGCACAGCCTGGAGACTACAACGCCGGGCGTCGAGGCTGTTACTGCCGTGACGCGTGCACGCGCGTTCGATACCATATTACGTGGTTTTCTTGTCAGTAATCAGCTCTGCCTGGATCTTGAGCATTTTAAGACGAACATGGGTTAGCCATTTCAATACAAATTAGGAGCCCCATTTCATCTACAATCTACAGTCAGGGAGAACTCATATCTTTGAAAAACATAGAAAAAACACGGAACTGGATTCTATGTGACAACTATCGGACTACCTGCGGTGATCAGGGATGTTGTTGCGTCAATGAGAGTTCCTGTGCTGATCCGGGGCTAACTGCGCGGGTCAGAAGACCTCCCGTATCAGGGATGGGAACAACGTGATGTGATATACCCTTCTAATGGCCTCCGGATCGACCAGGAGATCCCTCCGTGCCACCAGAATGATAGCCAGAAGACACATAGGCTAAATACTAGCTACCGAACTAACGCTCCGCGTACTACGGAGACTGCAACGCCTGTTGTCGAGGTTTTGTTGCTACGATTTGCAAGCGCGCATGCTAAAAAAACACGTTACATAAATTATACCACAAATCAGTTCTGATTGAATGGTGAACATTTTCAGACAAACATGGCTTGACCATGTAAATACACATTGTTGACCACTCGATGTACAATCAAATTTTCGTATTCAGATCTGGATCAAACATATCGATCGACAATCTGCCTTTGCGATGTCCTCAATGTCTGTAGAACCCAGATACAAAATTGACAAAGCTTCTGAACTTTATCGGCTTAGAAAGAATCAACTAACCATTGTAAATCAAGAGCGCCGGTGATTTCTTCCATGCGATGGTTCAACGTCTGATTTCTGCAGTTTATAATCCTCAAAATGCAAACAGAGTTGGGCTCACTGCAGCTCCTGGTTTCTGTTCTGGTTACAAGGCAAAAATAACAATAAAGCGAAGAAAACCATCTCACTTGTTAACAAATAAGCTATATCCGGGGATTTTTTTGGATGGGGATCACCATAAGATGGGCTTTTGTCAAACTTGTGTTCCTCACGGCAAGGCTCTGGGTGCGCCCCTGCCTGCACACAAAAGCAAATAAAGTCGTATACGTTGCATGATGGACAATGAAGTGTCATTTGGGCCAATTCGTACCTTAGGCAGGCAGCTCCCTGGAGGCTGTTTTTCTGCGATGGTGTGGTGTGAGGGAAGATAATTCGGAAAAAGATGCTGTTGCATGTTTCCAGCACGTGTTTCATACACCATGTAGTAGTAACGCTGGTCCGAACGTATGCAACAAAGCGGCCATACGATCAGTTCGCAGTCAGTCATGCGGGAGACGTCCGGGCCAGAGCGGTGGCCATCGACGGCGGACAGAAGCAGGGCCCAGATAAGGAACGTATGACAGATGGGCCTTATTTTGTGGCTTGATTCGTAAAAGAGAATCTCCAGTTTTATGGCTTTTATCACGTTGTTTCTGGCATTTCAAGCTCCCGAATTTGTTTCCGCCTAAAATGCCGCGACAAGTCTTATCTCTTGAAAAGCAGCCAGCGGAATGAAGGCGCATGACAAATCTGTCGCACTTTGAGACATTGATCCACTTCCAAAATTCTCACCAGCCTGTCTCCTGGCCGTATTTTGGCATTAACACTCTGGAGGCAGATGCCTCCTTAATGACCCAAAATACCTACCCGATCGTCGAATTTCGCCTCCCCAGGAAGGACAATGTTAAAATGGAAGAATAATCTAGGGAAGCTGGATAGCCTTATCTGCCAAATGGCAGATGAGTCGAATGTGCAAGATTGTGCACCAGTGATAAACAGCTTTAGGTGCACATCTAGCATAGCAGCCATGACATTTGAATAAAGAGCGATAACAACCTCCATCCCCCCCCCCCCCCCCCGGTTATCGGGCTGGCATTCAAGAAAAAGTTCCTGAAGTACACTCTGAGCTTACCCTCCCCCACTTAATGAAACACTCCTACACCTATGGTTGGGTGATTGGTAATGTAAATCAGTTTATGAGAAATGTAAAAATATAAACTCAAATCTAGATCACATTGACAAAATTTGTCGAGTAAGAACAGTTTTCAGAAACTAGCATTCTGTATTTAACCAACCGTTGAAAATATTGATGAATTTTATTCGAAAGGCAATTTTTTGTGGCAAGGGCGGTTGCTTGCTTCTCAAAAGTCACTTGAAAACATAATGCATTATTACCATGGTGTTAAGATTAATGTTACAACACTTTTGCCAAAACTTTCCCAGATACCTAGCCCTGAAACCACCTCGGAGACGTGGCGGTTTTTTGACGCGGTTGGTACGCGTGCAAAGATAGGCAGCAGACCTTTGAACGGCTTCTGTCCCAGCGATGATAGCGACGAGGGAGCCGAAGCCGCACAGGAGCCCGACGCCTGCGTCGGGCGCCCAAGGAACTTATTGCTATAGGTGGCGCCACCGTTCCCTCGCGTGACACCGCCACAGCGACGGCCGGGGAACTTTTCCGGGTGACTCGCGCGGATATATTATACTAGATGAGCTCGCTGTCTGACTGCCCCTAAATTTGCTTAACCATGGTAACTTCTAAACTTTAAGCTTCAGTAAAGTTCTTGCACTATGACCCCAACAAAGAACATTTGTGGTTACTAAATAACGGTGGGAAAGGCCGTCAATGCAAATATTCTACGCATACATACTTTGCGCTGCGTATGGGCGTGAGGGGGAAGGGCTCGATGGAACGTCTACGAAACGTAAGTAGGTAAGAGGAGTGTTTAAAGACCGCAACGTTACGCTCAGGTGTCAAATCCATTTAAGTTAGAACAGGGTTGTAGTTTGCTCAATTGTAGAGAGGGGGCTTCATCTCATCCC